TCAGTGTGGAACCATCGTAACAGTTACACATTTAATTTTATTTCGTGACTGATTTTACATCTTTTCATACAATTTATTTATCTATTTATTTTTTATTTATTAGAAATTTTATTTTTATATGGAATATGGCTGTGTGAGTGTCATTTTTGGACTACGGTTATATATAATTATTTATAATCATACTGACTAATGTATTCTGACGAGCATCGTACCAACAAAGTAAAATAATTCTTTGGGATGAGTATTGATTGGTGAGTATTCGAGATGACGTGATATTTGGTTGCTTCATAATAATAATTAAATATAACTAATTTAATTTACATTTGTATCAGAACATAATGAAATTCTTTTTTTAACTGATCTTTCAAATATTTTAGCGAGCAATTTCGTTTTCTGTGTTCAACTTTCATTCAATCTTTCGATATATGTATACATCTAATTCCATAACTACCAATAGTTTAATGTAGTATCATTATTGCGTTTATTTAATGTAGTAATATAATTACATTTATCTGAAGAGGGCCTAATCTTAAGATTGAAACATGTTGTAATTGATTAGTATATAATATCTGTCTATAATAAATTTGTAATTTTTTGGTTGTTGAATATAAATTTATGTATATGTTAGACTCTTACTTGCCCTAGATTGTATTTATTACCTATCAATGACCTTCAAGCTTCAAAATAAAATAAGAAATATTTTAATTATTCATTCCTACAGTTCTGTATAACTTCAGAAGTAAATATCTTTTGAACGAAGCATCTTTTGCGAGCATACGTCCAGTAGAAAATTTTTGTTTATTTGGGATCCTGGATATTGTAAATAAAACAAAAATTTTTATTCAATTAAAATCAATTAAATTCAATTTGCTTTAACTGGATTTAATTGGACTGAAAGACTATATTTCCTATTCAGAATTTTGAATTGAGAAGTTGATTCACGAGAAAAGCTGACATTATTTTTAGATCTAAGCATAGAAATGTACTTCACGCAATTCCTATAAATAAATAAAAATGATTCGGATTAAAAAGGATTCATTTTAACGTTCGCGAATGCGTATTTCTGAAAATTTGAATCCATTTGAAACCATTTCAATCCATTTCAATCCATTCTCATTTACTGGATATCACGGTCGTGATGTCCGAATCGTTGCACTCCTGTTAGTTATATGTGTATACGTTTTCACATCTTCTATACGCGCGCGAAATAATGAAGACGCTGATTGAACTTAAAAGAAACTTTATGTAATACACAAAATCTGTTAAGCCTTTCTATTAAGAATAGCAACCAAAACAAACATCGCTTAGGATCGATCTTCATTTCTTTTTTCTATCAATTTCTGTACAGGAAAGCAACTTTAGGAGCACAACAATATTATTAAACACGAAGAATCACCTTGATCGAATGGCGTTTTTCGCGCGCGCGCGTACGCATGTGTTTAATATACATTTTATTTACGTATCAACATTTGGAACATTCAATATGTCACGTCCTTAATTCAAAAGTGACATAACTCAACAAACGTAATTTTTAAATTATTATCATGAATAAGTTATAGCGATACAGACATCAAAAGTGAGTTAACTTAATTTCATAAGAAATCGAAGAATTAATGATTTTAGAAAACCATCATAATTGTCATAACTAATGAAAATTGCTTTTTAAGAATCGTGAAAATGATAAAGTTTAAGGCAAGAATATTTTTTTTTCAATATTATTTGAATAACGTTCTACCATGATAAAAAATAGTTCTTCCTTATTTAGGAAAATTCAACTTTTGTATCATTTTTTAAATCAGGGAATATATTGTTATATTCATCATTTATTTTCTTCAAAGTTTTGTTTGTGTTTCATAAATACATCAATACCTGTTAGTTAGCATTTTGAAATAATAATTTAAATTGGTAAAACTGCACAAAAGGGGAGCACTCGCCGACGACCTTGACCTTGACATATGTTGTTAAGATCATCATCCTGAGTAACCTCCAAGAAGTTTAGCCATCGCTCGCTATCCGTTAAAAGGTAATTAACAAAAAAAGTTTAAAAAATAATATCTCATTTCTGCTATAACGAAAACTGTAAACCTATATAGAATATCACTTTATTGAAAAGTGTATGTGTGGATCTAGTAGAGTGAAAGTCGTTTCGCGTTAAAAAAACCTAACCCTAATCCAACCCGTTTTTTGGTGTAAGGTATCCCTCATTTCGCGTGGAAGATTGTAAATCCATATCATTTTGCGTTAAAAAACCTAATTCTAACCCAACTCATTTTTTACTTTCGCGTGGAAAATTGTACTATTCAAAAGCAAAGTTCTATTAAGTTCTACTAAGTACAACCTTCCACGCGAAATAAGGGTCACCTCGCATCAAAAAATGGGTTGGGTTAGAGTTAGGTTTTTTTAATGCAAAACGACATGGATTTACAACCTTCCACGCGAAATGAATACCACCTCGCACCAAAAAAATGGGTTGGATTAGGTTTTTTTTAACGCGAAACGACCCCATCTCCTCCTCTTGGAGGCGCACGACTTCTACGCGAAGCAACTTTCGAAATCGTGATCCTGAGTGATCTCTAATAAGACTTTGAAAGTTGCTTCATGTGGAAGTGCCCCTCCCCCCAAGCAGGGGGGGGGAGAGTTGCTTTATGTGAAAAGTCATTACGTAAGCAAGGAAGGGTGTAGGATAGTTTCTAATATTATATACAGCAGAAATAAAACGTTATTTTTTTCAACCTTTAATAACTTTTTAACGAATAACGAATGATGATTAAAACTTGTTGGAGGTTATTCAGGGTGATAACAACATACATCAAGATCGAGATTGTCGGCGGGTGTTCCCTTTTTTTTGCAGTTTTACCTTTAAATTTATTAATGTATATTTGATGTTTCTAGCACATAATTTACTAATGTATATTATATTTGATGTTTCTGGCACATAATTTACTAATGTATGTTATATTTGATGTTTCTGGCACATAATTTATATATCCTATTAGTTAAAAAGTAAAAATTTGGTTTGTGGAAATATTATTACAGAAAAATAATAAAGGAGGAATCTCCATAAGGCCAGTTTTCGGTCCTATTTCAATTTCACTTTAAATTATCGAAAACGTTTTAAACTGTACGAATTATCGGAATTAGATAATTTTAGCTTAAACGGACGTATTTGATATCTGTAACTAGTCAGCCCCACTTTTATCACTAACATTCCTAATCTTTTCGACGTATTTTAAACATACATGTTATTTGGGAAGCTTCTTTTCCCGTATTAAGCATTATCTAGTCAATGACGTGGACGTGTCGGGTTTTTGATCCCAACCTGAAGTGTGCAGTGCATGGCGTCACGCGTGCGAACGGTGACTCGATCATTATGATCGGCCATGACTCGAGACAGTAGGCGTTGCTGCACATTTCAAATTCTGACAAGGAACCTTTTTCAAGCATCACTCGCTGATTTTTCTCATTTTTTAGATTCAAGAAGTGATATTAAAAAGTGATTTTTCATGTAAAAAATAATTGCTCAATATTAACCGTAGCGCTTATACACGGTGTCTTAGTTTTAATAATGAATTAAAATTCTTCGAAAATAATGCGTTTTTGCTTAAATCAACAATTAAAGCAGTTTTATTTCCAGTTTTTACGCTAATGTTACAACTGGAAATAAAGCTGCTTTAATTGTTGATTCTTAGTTATATTACAATATAGCGTGTATATAAGAAGGTACTCCAGAAGACAAAGTAGTAATATATAAAATACCTCCTAAATATACTGGTAATTATCAACCATTTGTTGACGTATATTTTTTTCAACCGTTAAAAAATTACGTCCATCGAAATGAAGACTGGATCGTAATTGATTTACATTTTGACATTTTTAATCGAAATAATATATACTCAAATTAATGGGTACCATATTTAATCAAGTTGGTTCTCTTCAAGTCAAACATTTAATTCTCTATTCATGGTACAAAACCGGATGGCCAAATCATAAACCCGAGACTTTTGAAACGTTTGTTCAATTTTGTTTAACTTTTGATTCAAGTAACTGCGAAGTATTTCCTTGCAATATATTAGCATTTAATCGATGCAGTTGATACAAGCTATTATTGTGTATCAATTACTTTGTGATATAAAATATTTACATATGCAACAATTACATTAGAAATTACAATAATTTCACTTAATTCTATTTAATTTTTATTATCTATAAGTAAAGAAAATAAAAATTAAGATAAAAAAATTAAAAAGGCCGAAGAAATTTTTATTTTTTAGCACAGTGCTTTTTAGCACATGCTCATAAGCAATGACTTTATTTATATAAAGTATCACATAAAAGTAAAATAAAAAATATCTTACATAAAATATGAAATAATTTATAAAAGTATTTATTTTTTTTATGTAACATTTAATCATTTTGAACTAACATTCTTGTAAGTAGAATGATAAAAAGAATCGATTTGCATCTAAAAATAATATAATTTCACTAAAAAAGTTTAATTGACTATGAAATCACCTCCGCAGAGGCTCTCAAGGTCAAATAAATCTATTCTACATTTTTTTTCGAAAACCAAACAACTTTTATTTTTAATAGAAACATTTTTAATAGAAACGCATTATTTTCAAAGAATTTTAATTTAATATTAAAATTGAGACACCAGGTATAAACGCTACGATTAATATTGAGTAGTTATTTTTGGCATGAAAAAATCACTTTTTGAATCGAAATCTGAGAAAAATCAAAAAATGAGAAAAATCGGTGATTGACACTTGAAAAAAGTTCCTTGTGAGACATCACGTCTATGTCATTGATCCTGGGTAATGCTAACAAGTACAGGAAAAGAAGCTTCTCACATAACACGCATGTTTAAAATACGTCAAAAAGATTAAAAGCGTCGATGGTAAAAATAGAGTTAACTAGTTACAACAGGTTTGTTAGCATACTCCAACATGCTTCAACATGTTCCTATTATAGCTCCTACTCATTCTAACGAGCGCGTTTGAGTGAGTAAGAGCTACAGTTGGAGAAAGTAGAAGCATATTGGAGCATGCAACGCAAACAAATCTAAGGTAACAGGTATCAAATCGTCCGTTTAAAATCACCTGATTTCAATAATTTATTCTAGTGCTCGGAATTAGTTGCCCATTTCGAGCAGATTCCTGAGGCGATCTCTACTATCACTCGAGACTCGGCGGCCGAGCCCACGTGACGCTGTGCCTCAGGAGCGTCGCGATACAAAAAAGTATGCTGGGAGCATATCTTCCGGCAAATATCATTAAAATATTTTCTTTCCTACATGATTTTTATTTTAATATTTAAATTTTTTATAACTCGAGTGGTAATGGAGGTCGCCTCAGGAATCTGCCCGAAATAGGCAATTAATTTCGAGCACTGATTTATTCAATAATAAAGCATAAAAAAACAATAAATTAATAGATTCCTTATATTTATGTATACATACTATGTTACAATAATTTAAACAGGCCGTTTAAATTACTGTAACATAGTATGTATATGCCGTTTGAATTGTTGTAACATAGTATGAAAAATAATTTTAATTTTTAAACACTGCGCAATTATAGCAATTATGGTTTCCACATTTAAAAAAATGCAATAGTCAATAGTCAATAATCAATAGACCTATTCCACAAAAAGAAGAATCGAAAAAAAGAATCAAAATTATATATCGTATAATAGCAAGCATATAAAATAAACTGCTAGTCCAAAGCTAGTTCTTGATAACAAGGAAGTCTACAATTAAAAATTTTTTAAGTCAAATCATAAAATAATAAAGATGATAAATAAAATGTACAGTACGGAAAGACGTATTGACCATACATCGTCAAGCAGTGAAATGAACAGAAATTGTGAAAATTCGCCGATCATTTAAAAGTCAAATTTGATGTCAATAATAAAAACAAACTAAGAGTTAAAATAATTAAAGTATACTTGGTTTAACAATTCTGTATCTGTTTTTAAATTAATGCTATTATCTGTTGCGCACTCTGAATAGCGCCTATTCCTTTGATCCCTTTTTATTTATTTTTTAGTTTACTTTTAAGTTAGGGAAACGTGATATTCAAATTTTATATAATTTTATCATTTTAAATTCTTGATTAATGATTAATTGTTAACATTCTCTTTAACGTATTATATATATAACATCGTCTTTGTAATTGTTTAATATTCTTTTTTAAACGTAAATTTAAAACTTGATATAAATTTATAATTTACAATTATTGAATAGTTTTTGGTAAGCAAGAATTATTATGACAAAATATTTTAAAAAATTTAGCACTATTTAGATAGTGGGGGTCGCTCGCCGGAATCGGCCCGAAATGTGCAAATCTTTGCGAGCACTGTTCTAAATAATAAAGCGTTTCCGATAATTTAAAATGAAACTGAAATAGGGCCAAAAACTGTCCTTATGGAGACTCTTCCTTTATTGTTTAAGAACAATTTAAGTTGTTTAAAATGTAAAACATCTTATTTATTAAAAATAAATCAATTAATAAATTTTATAAAAAATTCAAAATCATGTATAATAAAGAGTAATTAATATTTAAGACATTAGAACTAATTAACTTATTTAAAAGCTTTATTATGAATACCAATAAATTCTGTATAAAGTATATTGCAATTGTTCATAAGACATTTAATTTTCAAATGGTGTTTCATAAATACATACCTGATCAAAATATTCTGGTTCAGAGGCAGAAGCATCCCATCGATTATTTAAAATAAATATATTTGGTTTTGATAATTTTGTTGAAACTTTATGGAAGAAATTTTTTTCCTAAAAAAGAAAATAAAAATTATAATTATTAGGTGTTGGAATTAATTCGTAGCGTTTTACAAGTGATGGGAAGTATTTTCATTAATGTATTTTTTAATGCTCATGTGAAATAAATAACATTCTTTCATTAAAAACGCTACGAATTAATTCCAACACCCAATAATAATTTAGTATACAATAAGAAGCCTATGACTTTGACCTTTACATAGACTAGTCCATTTTAATCCATCTAATAAAATATCTCAATATCCTTAAGACAAAAATGTTTGAGACAAAAGTTGCTTAGTTACTAGAGGGAAAAAAGATGGTGATCTTAGTTAATTGATTTTGAGAAAATGTTCTTAAGGTCATCAACTTAAGGTTATCAAAAATTATAATATTTAAATAAAATTGTAGGTTTTATTTACATAATATAATACAATTCCTTTAATTATTCTGCAAATAAAAATATTAAGGTAAAGATATCGAAAAATCAATAGTTTTCGAACTATTTTTTATTATATTTTAGTACATATTTAGTAAATATTAAATATCTCGTAAATTTCATTTTTTGATAATCTTGTACTTTAATACTTTCATGCAGAGAATAATGAGATAAATCAATTGGTGTAAAGAAAACACATAGTTGCTTATTTAAAAAATTATATAGTTGTATATTGCAAAATGTACAATTTTTTTATCTCTTAACGAATATTATCTAGGACATAATCGTGAACAAGAAGTTTTAGTCATCAGTCGTACACTTTGCGTAACGCTAATGCCGGCGGTATCATAACTCAAAAAATATTTAATGAAAAAATATTTTCTAATAGTGTTTTGGAGAGACACCAGCTTAGATTCTGGAATCAAAAGTAGGATGTTCCGTTTAAAAATATCGATGTAATCTTGACCTGATCTTGGCGACGCCACTCAAGGTCAAACTGATAAGATCAGTAAATAGATCTTTTTAAACCTTACAACTTTTGTCTGAAACACTTTTCTGTAAAATTTATATTTTCCGAGATATTCAGGAGATATTCCTGATTTTTTTTTGGAAACCCTGTATATATAATTCCATTAAAAAAATTTTAGATAACGCTGATTTGACTTAAGAACATTTTCTCAAGATCATTCAAGATCATCTTTTTCTTTCCTCCTAATATCTGAGCAACTTTTGTCTTAAAGTTTTTGAGATTTTCTATCAGATGTAAAATGAATCACCCTGTCTATTAACAAAATCATATTGAGTTTAACTGTTCCGACAAGATCTTTTAGGATCTTAAAAATATTATAAAAGTAAAATATTATAAAAGTACATATAGTTATAATATAACCTGTTTTAGAGATATAAATTGTAGCACTAATTATTTTAACAATATATGTTTAAGAGCAACAATCAAAAGATTTTAACCATCGCTATATAGTTTATTAAAAAAAATCATTAATTGAAACAGTTTAAGAAATATATATATCAGTTTATATCAGTGCTAAAGAAAGTTGCTATAAATATGTAAATACAGTATATGGAGGGAGTAGAGCTTTCTTTACTCAAACATTTACTTAAATGCAATAATTACGAGGACAAATCAATAAGTTCTTAGAAAATCTGTCAGAAGGCACTCGCAGTGTCATGTCACATTACTTTTTGACAAGCATCTTTCAATTGGATATTGTATTGGAATTTGAGCGGAATTCATTGCGTGGTTTCATTTCTGTAGACAATTAAAACGAACAATCTTTGTATTTTTTGCAAAATGAAAAAAACGACTTTCATGCAGTGATCAAATACATATGAAAGGTTTAACGCTGAAAGAAATCAAAGCCGAATTGGATAATGTTCATAACACATCTGCTCCAGTGTTTGCGACTGTATACAATTGGGTGAATGAATTTAAACGTGGTCGTACATGTGCATCTCGTTCGGGACGTCCAATTGAGGCTACGCCAGAAATCATCGATAAAGTCTACAATATTGTTTTGACTGATCGACAAGTGAAAGTGCGCGAGCTTGTTGAGGCCACAGGTATATCACAGGTATGGCACAATGATTTCAATTTTGCACGAATAATTGGGTATGAAAAAGCTATCGGCAAAATGGATGCCGCGTTTGCTCACTGTGGATCATAAGCGCAATCGTGACGATTTCAAAACAATGTTTGGAGATGTTTCAACGTAATTCAGATGAATTTCTTCGATTCATTACTGTGGACGAAACATGGATCCATTATTTCATACCCGAGACGAAGGAACAGTCAAAACAATGAACTTCATCGAGTGAACCAGCTCCGAAGAAGGCAAAGACCATGAAGTCGGCCGGAAAGGTGATGGCTACAGTTTTTTGGGATGCATGCGATATAATTCATATCGATTACCTTCTGTCAAAGCAAACGATCAACGGCGATTACTACACAGCCTTATTAGATCGTTTCAACAACATTTTAAAGAAAAAACATCCTCATTTGGCGAAGAAGAAAATGCTCTTCCATCAAGACAATGCTCAGATTCATACGTGCCCGGCACCGATAGCCAAATTTAACGAATTCCGCTATTGCTTCCCCATCCAGCATATTCGCCAGATTTAGCCCCCTGACTATTTTCTGTTTTCAATCTTAAAGAAATGGTTCGGAGGAAAGAGATTCACCACTAGAGAGCAGCTCATCGCCAAAACAGAGATGTTATTTTGAAGAGTTGGACAAATCATATTATTCGGATTGAAAAAGTTGGAGAATCGTTGAATTAGGTATATCGAGTTGAAAGGAGACTATGTTGAGAAATAAAAATGAATCGATCAAAATAAATGTGTTTTACTATGCTTTTCTAAAAACTTATTGACTTGCCCTCGTACATATACAAGATGTCAGAAATAGGAGCCGCATTGAGGGCGTAAAATGGGTCAAAGGGAACAAAAAATTTTATACTATTTTGAGATATTTGTTGTAGTTTTCAAATTAAAAAAGGAAACGTCTAAGCGATAAACAATATGCGATGAGACCGCGCCACGAGAATTCGTAGCAGTCTGTTTATATACTCTATATATATATATAAAAAATATATACACACACACACACCATTGATTATAAACGCAATGACTGATTAATCGTTCCATTATTTCATAAAATTTTTCTTCATTGTAATCATAAATTCAACAAATTTCATGCCGTCATATTCAACCGTGTACTTTTTTGTAAATGTAAAATGTGAAAGAAATGCTTTTTGTGCAAAAGAACTATTTTATGTAGCACTATCACTTTTTGCAATAAATATTATATTTTGTAACTGTACGTCTCATTTATTTCTTTAAATCACATCTTCCCCGCATTTCAAGTTTAGTGTGGATTTTTACACTTTTGAAATATACTACGTAGGCTGCTGGAAAAATTTCTGCAATCTAATACTTCCAGTGACGCCAACGTTTTGCTACTATCATATCCGTAAAATTAGTTTTTAATCTATAATTCAGTTAATAGTTTGTACCCAAGCCAACTAATTTTTGTTTACATAGTATTTTATAATAAAACAAGTTATTTTGTGAGAAAATGGAAATTTCGCGTGAAAATTTTCGGGCAATGATTTTTTATGATTACAAATGTAATCTAACTCCGAAACAATGCATCGATCGACTTCATTTCCTTAGGCATTGACATGAAAGTAATACATATGATTTTGCATGATCACTTGAGCATACGGAAACTTTGCAGTCGTTGGATCCCACACAATTTGATCGAAGCTCAAAAACAAGCTCGTGTTAAATGGAGCAAAGAAATGCTCAAGAAATTCAACCGAGGTCGGTCAAATTTGGTCTACAACATTGTTACTGGGGACGAAACATGGATCTATTCGTATGAGTCCGAAAGTAAACAACAATCCACTGTTTGGGTATTTCAAAATGAACCGAAACCAACAAAAATTGTTCGTTCATGCAATGCTGTCAAGCAAATGATTGCTTGTTTCTTCAGTTATACCGGACATGTGCAATCGTGGCTTTAGAGGATCGAAGGACTGTAAATACTGATTGGTATACAACAATTTGTTTGCTAAAAATCATAAATGAATTGCGTAGAACAAACCGAAATCGTCGCATTATCCTTCATCATGACAACGCCAGCTGTCAAACCGTTGATTTTTTTGATCCAATAAAAATGTCGAATTGATGACTCATTGTCCGTATTCACCTTATTTATCACTTAATGACTTCTTTTTGTTCCCAAACATTAAAAAGAAGATGCGTGGTGAGCGATTTGAGTCGCCTGAAGCAGCTGTTGAAACATTTCGTACACTGATTTCTGAGGCCTCAGAGTGGAAAAAATGTTTCGAAAATTGGTTCGAGCGTATGCAAAAATGTATCGATCTTAAAGGCGAATACTTTGAAAAACAATAAAATCATTTACTGAATTTTACATGTTTTTTTTCATATTGTTGTTTCATTGCAGAAACTTTTCCAGCAGCCTACGTATCATAAAGTACAGAAAGAATTTATTCTCTAAAGTGAGCTAATCAACACACCGGTTACGGCGAGACACTTATATTCATTCTTGTTTTGCCTTCTCTTTTTTCAAATAAAAAATAAGACACACAATTAAATACTGAAAAAAATAAATAATAGAAAAGATGCTTTTTTTCTAACAGTGTCCGACACTCGGCCGAAAACGTCGAAAAAAAGGAACCGTCATAAATCTATTTATCTATTTATCTATTTATCTATTCATCTGCTATTCATATCTGTTGTTTGTACCTCCTCGCGATGAAAAATGCTACTTTCAATTTGCTCACCCGCCATTTTATCATGGAATTCAACCCTGCCAACACTCTGCCCTTCTCCAATCACATCACAATGGACCGAATCAATCAGCGCGTGGGCAGCTATGAAATCGAATCAATCAAAATGCACCATTTAATTACTTCATTACCTCCATTCTTCCCCCACTGATTAATCAAAGCGTGTCATTTTTCCAAATGGAGTCCGTCTAGGCCACGCTCTAACGCCAGAAGTGGAGTAGAGGAGGTTTATTTAGATCATACCCATAGCTACTCATTTATTAATTACTTAAATATTTTTCAAACGATATCTGTTCCAACACTGAGATTAACTGCAAGTAAAATTCAAGTTACAAACTTAAACACATCTTTATATTGTCAACTTCTTTTATTTTATAATAACTTTTTAATAAATAACAAGCGATGGCTTTATCTTTTGATTGTTATTCAAGATCGTAATCGACAATATATACATGCCAAAATCAAAGATATTGGAATCTGATCTTCTATATCAACAACAAGATATTATTAAAGCAGGCCAAAGATAAATCTTCATGACTATCAAAGAGGCTCACTCAAATTAAGACATTTTTTAGACGTTATGATAGTGTTCGCTTTGGAGTGCACTGCGCTTTAAGCATTATTTCTTGTTTATCAAATATTAAACAAAGACAAATAATGCTTACAAATGCTGTGAACGCACAATTGAACGCAGCATTATATCATAAGATATTTTTAAAAGTCATCTAAATAGGAGAAGCGCCACTTAATGGTCAAAGTTAAATATTAAACCAATACATATACATATTCTTATTTGAATGAATTTAAATGAATATACAGAAACTATGCGTTTCGCAGGTTATCTCCGTGTTCGAATTCAAGAACGCCAAATTCAACATTGCAGTTCACTTCATTCTTAGAATGCCAACGTTTTGTGAACATTGCAGTTCACTTCAAGACGAGGGACAATCTAATACTGAGCTGTTTCTCCGGGTGATTTCCTTTATATATACATTGTTTTTTTATGTGGGAGAAGAATAGGTATGTTGGCGAGAGGGGATAGAAGGGAGGAGTGTAGAGTCGATTAATCTTCGATGACCGAGAGAATAGTCTTCTACTCGTATATTTTACTTATATTGTAGCCATTATCTCTATTTAGATTATTAGGGTGTTTTTTTATCTCTCTATATCTTTTTTATAGCCTCTCTATATTTTCTTGAAAAGTATAATGTAATATTGGCTATTGTAATCACTTTATCAAACAGTATTTGATGTCCTGTCTCACTGTTATGTTCTGATAACTGATTGAGTGACGCGTTTTAACTTAACGTCACGTGTTGTTCTTTTATTTGTAGATTGATCATATTCTCTCGGTCTCCTCCAACGTATATTTTTCCGCAGTAGCAAGATATTTTATATACTCCTACGGAACTGAGTAGAGGTCTTTGATCTTTAGGATTTTCTAAATTTGTGCTATCTTTTTGGGTGGTTTAAATATGATTCGGATATTGTGTTTATTTAACTCTTAAATGCCACATGTAAAAAAAATCACGGAGATGCTATACGGGGTTAATTAGACTCCAACGTGAAAAAGTGTATGCTATTCCTAAAGTTTTCAGTATTTTGCTTTGAAAATTTGTTTGGATATACTTCAAAGAGAGAGCTTCTAAAAGAAGATGTAATTGTGTAGTTATGGTGAAATTTTACTGTAAATATACTAAAAAAAAAATTAGTTAAAATTTAAGAAGCATACTCTTTTTAAACAAATAAAGTATATTTGTTTTAATTTTTTATATTTTTCGCTAAAAATTAAAGTTGTACTCCTGAGATATTTTTTTAGATGAAACTAAGTTTGACAGTGGATATTCTAAAAAAAGTATTTATTTTGCGAAATAAATGAGGAAATTCTAGAGAAAGAAAAAATACAATTAACGATTTATTTGACCTAATATATTTGGTAAAAAAGTTATGAAAAAAGTATTTTTGGGCACATAATTACAAAAGTATGTAAAAATATATTACAAAAAATACAAAACATATAAACATTGATTTTATTCTAACCCAGAACATTCGACACAAAAATAAACGTAGTATTTATTGCACATCGGCTTGTGGCACGAAAGCAAATTACATTCCATCTAATTATTTATAAAAAAGTTATTGTATAATTACAACACTAAGAAAATTTTGAACCACGCACATTAATACTTACAATTCAAAGTGATGAAATTTACATAAAAATGTGAATAAAAATGTCGCTCCAATTTTCATTTTGCACAACGTAAATGACACACTGTTTTGTACTCCGCCTCGAAATGCATCGTTCCTATACAGGCTGCTATACAGAGACAGACTTGTCGCGAACTTTTCAACTGATAGTTGGGGATCTAAACTAATGGTGGATGGAGCCAAAAGTTTGAGTTACAGCGAGATTATAAAATATATATACATACGATTGAAAAAAACTTGGAGTCTTTTGGACTCCCAGTGGTATTTAAGAATTAATATCTTGCCAATCTGATACATTATTCCTGTAACATAAGGGAGAAAAAAGGATTCTTTTGTCTGATTATGTGTCAGGAATTGTTGTGTTATTTGTATGTTTATTGATAATTTTAATTGTTTTTTTTTGTTGTTGTGATCGTTTTGCTGTAAGGCAAAAGAATACCAACGTGACGTCAGATTAAAATACGTCACTCAGTTAGCATTATCAAAACACAATGAGACAGGATCAAATACTGTTTGATAAAGTGATTACAATAGCTAATATTACATTATACGTAATATTACATCATACTTTCTAAGAAAATACAGAGAGGTTATAAAGGTTATAGAGATACAAAAACATCCTAACAATCTAAATAGAGATAATGATTACAACATAAATAAAATATAGAAAACCATTCTTTCGGTTATTAAAGATTAACCGAATCCCCACCTCCTCCCCTCTCACCTGCACACCCACTTTCTCCCTCACTTCAAAAAATTTTCCTCCAAAATAATTTTTTTTTTTTCAAATATACAGATTATGTGTATTTGATAGATTGGATTTATTAAATATATAATATAATATCTAATAGGTTCTTCTTTATAACGAATTATGTTACAAATGTTATATTACTAATATATATTATACTTACAGTAACCATTATGGTAGATTCTGCATTTGCTACTAAGACAAAAACATCTGCATCCAAGCAATGCTTATCAATCCATTCATCAAGATTTGGAGTTACATCTACGCCTGGACTATCGACGAACACTACATCATCTCGCAGTAATAAACATTTTTCTTTTGGCCAAAATATTCTAACCAAATGGCTTTCACATAACTTTTCTTTGCAAAGAGCATGACCTAACTGTCCAACAGATTGAACTGGTTGTTTTTCAGTAGATCCTTCCGTAATAAGATATGATTCTCCGTTATCTGAACCTTCAACTTGTAAGAAACAATTTGTAGTGTGTCCTATACCACTTGGCAAAATTTTATCATGTAGCATGGCATTAATTACAGTACTTTTTCCATTACTTGTTCTGCAACATACACATAAAGATTACATTTTTTATTTGTATGTCCCATTTTAAAGGATCCATTCAAATATCTCAAAAACACTACGTTAAATCGAAAAATGTGAAATGAAATTTTTCGATTTAACGCAATGTTTCCAATACATGCCTGGCTTCTTTAAAATGAGACATCCTAGATATTGTTTTATAATTGTCAATCACTAATTGGTTATTTAAAAAAATAAATAAAAAAGCTAATTTTTTATCTAATAAAAAATACAAATGTGTATAAAACTTATATATTGTGAAATGAATAATTCATGTATACTTCTTAGCCGATACGTTATCTCGATCGTGAGACATGTATCGCTTACATAAAGTGTCCCAAAATTCAAGAATAATATTATATTATAATATTGCACGCACGCACGCACGCACGCACGCACGCACGCACGCACGCACGCACGCACGCACGCACGCACGCACGCACGCACGCACGCACGCACGCACGCACGCACGCACGCACGCACGCACGCACGCACGCACGCACGCACGCACGCACGCACGCACGCACGCACGCACGCACGCACGCACGCACGCACGCGCGCGCGCACGCACTCACATGCATTCGTCAAAATTCATGAAACCCAATCTGCAAAACTCTACAACTTATTCGTAGTATAAGTACTAACTTGTTAAAAACAATTTATTCGGCATTTTAAATAAAACAATTAATATTTAAAAGAATATATAGATTCAGAAAACTTGTTTCTTATTATTTGCGGATTATTAAATTTGTTAAAATAAAGTATTTGTGTATTTGAAAAGAAGGAGCTGCGTCGCAAGATTGCAAAGCTATATGTATTATATAGACTTGCAGAAAGAAATAAAAATAAAAAACGAACCCATATTTGTTAGTAATGAAAGGAGATTACTACAAGGAACGAATGACAATCTTGTAAAGGAAATACTGATTGAAGATAGAGAAAAATATGTGGATTATTTCAGAATGCCACCTCAATTATTTAAAGCATTAGTTGGATCAGTCATCACTAAAGAATATGTTGTTCGCAAACCTATTTCTGTGAACCTATAGCTGTTACTCGGCTTCAAATTACATTGCGCTATCTGGCATCAGAGGATAGAATGAAATCCTTGTCATATGCCTTCAGAATTGCACACAATACAATTTCAAAAATAATAAATTTAATATGTAGCTTAATATTTTTACTGTTTTTGATTGAACATTCAATATTTCTGTCTTTTTCGTACAAAATCTCACAATGCCTGCAATTCTGTACCATACATTCCGTACATTGCATGCGTATAAAATAAAAACTTGCGGATCAAAATTGAAACGAACGTAAAACAGGTCAAACTAATCATGAGTGTTCCGCCAATTCCGCATTGCGCATACGTTCCACACCATGGGATCGCGCCATTAAAAATATGTACAGCAGATTTTAAAACGAAATTCGTAAAAATGGCGAAATTAATAAATAATAGACCAATTTTGCGCGTAGGTATATAACTTAGTGCGCGCTGTAACTGATCTTTCCTGAGAATTATAGGGTCGATTTGTTTTTTATCCGTGCACTTTCAGAACTGGCATAGACAGTGTAATAAGTTAAAGCGAAACAAACGTAAATTTGTTTCACTTCAATTTATTGCACCGTGTGCAGAAATAAAAACAGGCCTATTGCTCCGAAGAGACACAAAAGGTTGGGAATTTTTTAAGGGCCAATTTTTACATGTAGTCTAAAAATCTGTCTACAATAGCCATGGCTGGTGAGAAGAAAAAATTGACCAATCACAATTGAATACTCGACTATAACTGATCCTTTTCTCTACTCTACTCTACTCTTTTTACGACTATTGTAAACGGGCCTTTAACGCAGCTATCTTTATTTCCAGGGTGCCCCGTAAGGAAAAAAACCTATTAAAATGTCAATAGTAAATAATAGAATGCCAATAGTAACTATTAGAACGCTAATAGTAATTATTCAACAGCAATAGTTATAAGCATTCAGTACTATTACTGAGTACTGTAAAACTAGTAATAAGTAGTTTCCACTACACAATTATAAACTATTGATCAGTGTGAACTTTTAGAATAATAATAAAAACTACTGAAATACCACTGTGCAGACTAATAGTTTACATTACTCTCATATTAATCATTGAATAGTACAAAATAGTGTGTAAAAATGTGTAAAATTAAACTAATAGTGCACATTCTGTACAGTATATACAATTGAATATTTCTAGCAGCATTCAATAAACGTATACTCTTCAGTATGTACTATTGCTCATTATTGCTGAATAGTATTGTTAAGTCATAGCGATACTTAGAATTTTTGATATTATATCTTACAATTTTTATGAAAAGTTTAAAATTTTTTTAAACTTTTCAAGTTTTTACGAATTGAAACATTTTTCAAAACAAGTCAGATCAAAACTAAAATTTCCAGAAAGTTCATATCTACAAATGGTGAATTATTTATAGAATCCTCATCCAATTATTAGGTGTTGGAATTAATTCGTAGCGTTTTTTAATGAAAGAATGTTATTTATTTCACATGAGCATTAAAAAATACATTAATGAAAGTACTTCCCATCACTTGTAAAACGCTACGAATTAATTCCAACACCTAATATTTCTGACATTAATTGAGAAATTTTGCATGTTTTTTTTCAAAATTGACTGAGTTTTTCTCAAAATTATTATATTTCTGTTATATGCCACGCGTATAGCTTCATTTGTACAATTATATTTAACATTAATTATTTTTTTCTATACGTGTTCCGTCTCTTTTACAACATCTTTGATCAGATATGTTACAACTATACATTCATTAGCATTATAGGTGTTCATGGCCCTTCTATGGAGCGGTTCCTGTACGATTGCAGCGGTGAAGTATATTAAGTGGAGGTACAGATTCGAATGGGTAACCATAGAAGCATCATAAAATTAATTCTCAAATTCATGAAGAAAATCTTTTTTTATTATAATTTTGTCGTGTATCCTCTTAAAATATGATGCTAATAATATTTATTTTTGCAATAAAACTTCAGTGAAATTTCAGTAAAATTTCAACGAAATTTTTTCCATCACTATTACACTATTACACTATTAGCGAATATACTATTGCACTAGTAGTGACACTAGTAATGACACTAGTTTTTTTCCGTAAGAAGCAGCATAAAGGATCCCGCACAAATCATACGAAAAAGTGCTTTCAGTCGAATTGACTGAATTTTTGATATATTGTAATTCTCGTCATTCTGAACAAATGTCTCAATGGGCACAATTTGATCCTACAGCTAGTTTCAGAGATATAAGCGGTCAAAGTGTCCTCTGCCGAAAATGCAATGTGCACTACGTACGCGTCATTACTCCTTAGAGCTTTGTTTCTATGTATATATGAATTAAATAATTATAATGATAGTAATTATGATATAATGATTGTTATAATGTATGTAATGATAATTATAATAAATATAATTACAATTATAGTTACATTTACGATCATAATTCTAATTATAATTATATATTTTTCTAAAATTACACTATATTAGTCTAAAAGTTCATAATATGACTTGGGAAGGTAAAATGTTGAAATCATATATATTTTCGTGTTCTCAACATCACCAACGTACATGTGACAGGTTATCTGATCCAGTGCATGTGTGCGCGCGTGCATGCGTGTGTGTGGTTGTGTATGTGCGCGTGCGTGTGATTGAAGTCGACAATAACTCAGAATGCTAAGAGCGCACGACTTTTCACGTATAATAACTTAAAGAAGTTTAATGCCAAATAGTATATAACTTTAATCAAACATTTTTGGTATTAAATTTCTTTGTCAGTGAAAATCTATTTAAGGGCATTCATTTGACGTCATTTAGAGTATTTCTGCCAAAAGTCATCAAAATCAAACGTCTAACATTTTCGGAAGTTTATCTCATTTTGGCATATATATGATCATATGTTGATATCAAATATTATAAATCTCATAAATTAATAATTTCTTGATAATAGTACTTTAATACTTTTATAAAAAAAATAATAATGAGATGAATAAATTGGTGTAAAAAAAATACATAATTGTTTTCAAAAATTATCCAATTTTGCCTACATAGTTTTTTAAATTAGATATCTCCTTTATATTAATCGATTTATCTCTTTATTTACGATATCTAATAAAATCTGGCTAGTCAATTCAAGGATAGTTCCAAGATTTTTTTTCCAAAATTGATCAATCAATAAACTGTTATTATTTAATTTTCATCGATTCGCGCAATATTATATGCTTTGTATTCAAGTTAGAATTATAAGGCGTATAATTTTGCTTATACCGTTTTTTTCCGAAATTCGAGGCTTTATTGTAAAAAACTGGTTATACATTTATGATTCAAAGTATTGTCCATCGCTGGCCATTACTTTCTCCCATCTTTCGGGCAGCATACGAATCCCGCGTCGAAAAAATTAGTCATCTTTTGAGGCGATCCATGAATCGATCCAATTTTTTACTTCTTCATAAGACCGGAAGTGCTGGTCAGTCAGGTCGTGTACCATTGATCGAAACAAGTCAGAGGGAGCAACGTCTGGAGAATACGGCGAGTGGGGTAGGACTTCCCATTTCAACGTTTCCAAGTATGTCTTGACCACTTTCGCAACATGGGGTCGAGCATTGTCATGCTG